CTGCCTTCCAAACATTTGTGTTTGCAGACTGATTGATGCTGCTTTCAACTTTAGTCAGAGGGGGCTGAGTTTGCAGTGAGCAGTGATTAACGCAGAGACTGTAACTTGTGTAAGAGCTGAGAAGAAAGGATGCTGAGAGCTCACTAAAGGTCCATCTCTGTTAACCCCTTCTTGTCAAGGGCTCAGGGACTCTGGAGAGGAGGAGGCAGGCTGGAGTCTGGGGAAGACTGAGGAATGCCGTCGCCCAGACGTGACGTGGCTGTTGTGTTGTGAACTCTCAACAGCTGTGGTTACTTGCACAAGGCCTGCAAACATGGAGGCAGTCAACGTTCCAGCATGGATGGGAGAAGGACTCACAAAGCCCCACCCCTGCCGGGGAGCCATTGGCTGTTGATGTCACTTTTCTTTAAGGATGTGGCTGCTGGTAGATTGCCCATGTGCCGGTGGGTGGTCTTCTAGCCATACACACTCAGGCAACACTAAACTGGAGTCCGTGTGGAAGGAGGAGGAGGAAGAGGGGAGGGGGAGATAAAAGTAAAAGGGAATGCGGTGGGCTGTTATCAAGTTATATTGTTTATGTGTGTGAAATTGTCAAAGAATAGGAAGTATTTTAAATTGATTCATATGAATACCGGGGCTTTTGTTTTGATATAAATTTGGGGACAAAAACCCATTTCTAGAAATAAAGGGGAATTTCTGTGATGCTTCGAGGAGTAATTTGCCAAGGAATATGAAATCCTAAATATGTGTGCCCTCAATATCAGAGCTTTGAAAGACACACAGCGAAAGGCGACAACAAAGAAGGGAAGAGACACAGCTACAGCTGGCCGTGGGAGCCGTGCTCTCTGCCACTGGTCAGACAAATCCTCAGCCACGAGTCACCCGCTCACCAGCGAGCAAGCTGACTGATTGTTTATACAGATGTTTACAGGCGATTCCACCCAACTATAGCAAAGTATGTATTCAACTGTAGATCTTTTTTTAAAAAATCATAAAAACACACCATGTGCCAGGGCCATAAAATTAATATGAAAGTATTAAAAGGGACTATAATTATGATGAGTGTGTTCCCTGACCACAAAGGAATTAAGTCCAGCATCAGCACAGACAGAAGCTGGTATTTGTCCCCTAGACCCATCAGCAACTTTAGCGATCCTCTCTGGTTCTGGGGCAGATATTTTTATGCCTTACTAGGACTTTCTTTAAGCAGCTGCTTTTGAAACTGCCAGTCGTTGACTGCCAAGTTCACTTCCACCGCCCCGTGGAGCTTCCAGCATCTCATCTCTCTGAGGGAGAGTCGTGAGGCCCGTTCTCCCGCTGTCCACAGAGCAGGTGCCCGGTGCTAACGACAGCCTGGAGATCTGATGTGAAGACTTGATGTTCCCCATCCCCAGACTCAGTCCTGGCTGCCGGCACTCTCCTCACTCCTCCCTGCGGGCAGGTCTCAGAAGAGCGGCAAAGTCCCAGTCTTTTGTCCCCAGCAGAGAGCTGTAGCCTAGACATGAAAATAAGCAAGCAGTCCTCAGGAGTGGCGTGGCAGACCTAGGTAAGTCAGGACAGGCCAGTAGGGCTCGTAACATCCAGCCTTCTGTTCAGCTTCTTTTTTTGTTAGCTTTCATGGATGTGGGTTTATTTATTTATTTCAGAGGACTGGGAACATCTCCTGAAATAATTGTTAGGGTTTTTTTTAACCCACTTCCATGGGAAGCAACAGACAGAAGTGAGTAGAGGGGAAGAGGACTCAGATTAAAGTAAGGAGGGCAAATGGAGCAGAAAACACGAAACAGGAGAGGGCCACTGAGGGGTACAGTGTCCTTGGAAGCTGCTGCATCAAGCTCTGCTTTTTACCTTGCTGGGAGGTGGCCAGTGAGTGTTTATTATCTCCGAGCCTTGGTTTCCATCCGTAGAGAACAGACACAAGTACATACCTTTCCAAGTGTATCCTAAGTACAGGAAGCAACACACATGGATGCGTTGTGTATACATGCATGCATGCACATACACTCCTATCTAATTTAATAAGATAGTACTTGTAAATGCCTGCTATCTCTATGATGTAATAAATACATAATAATGCAAACTCCACACTAACCCTTGACTTGGGAGCAGAGGGTGCCCTTCACAGAAGGAGGGGGGTCTGAGAGAATTAGAGCAAAGATACTTTTCAAACTTTGGCTTAGGATAGAGAGAAAGAATTTAAAATGAAATGGAGTCTTTAGGAAAATTGGAAAGACACTCTGCACTGGTTTTGTAAGCAACCTGCCATCACCTCGGTCTTCCCGGAGGGAGAGGTAACCTCTTCCTAGAGACTTCTAATAGAAAGGCCTTTTTCTCTTCAAAGCAGAGGCCTCTCCACTCCTCCACTGTGGTGTGCCCTGAAGATAAACATGGGGTTTAGAGCTCACTATACATTCTGTTGCCTGCACACACATTCTAAATATAGTAGCCAGATGATTACTTAATTTAGCTAGCAATGGCAGGTTGTTGACAAAGATTCCCTGCTGAGTTCCAATGCCGGGAAGCGTGGCGTTTATGAAGCAAATCATATCTGCAGAAATGACTAACAAAGCCAATCGCTTCATATGGTGACATAATATTTAGCTCTGTCATGGGAGTCTAATTGCCTTATTTTTACACTGTTAGTACTTTATTGATAAATACAGATCACCTGGATCTAGTCAGTCCTGCAGGGGGCGCAGCCCTTGCAGAGTGAAGCTGTTGGGCAAGGAAACTCAGTCCATGGTACCATCTGCTGCCCAATACATGGTTACCAGAACAGAGTATAAACACAAGTGGCTCACAAATAGGATCATCTTATTGACTCGCAATTTAATTAATAGATACTCAAGACTCTTAAGCAATTGGTTTCACTCAACAACCCAAACTGTCAAGGGCCCTGCAAATAAAATCCCATAGCATTCTAGTGCTTGGTTAGTGTCCTGGGGAGGGAGCTGTGGCTGGATGGAGAAGCTCATCTCACTTCCTTTCATGTTCCACAGGGGATCCATGCACTCTCAGATCTTGCCTTTGTGCTTAGACATTGTTTGGGATGAGTGTGTGCCTCATCCCTCAGGCATATTTGAATATAACAGAGCTCAGAGAATCCTGCTCTGCCTGGCTTAAGCAAAACAAGAAACCACTGGCTGTTCAGACTGAATAGCTCAGCTGTTGGTGCCTGGATCTATCTGCGTGTCTCCCTTACCCCTGAGGTATTCTTTCCTCCTCATTAGTCCACAGATATGAAGCACCCATGGGCCACACTGGTACAGTTTGATTTTCCCAGGAAGAGAAAACGCATCTCTTTAGGGATTTAGGAAGACCTCTCACGGGCCTGGCTCAGGGGATGGGATTAACAAGCCTGGCTTCCGTACTCACTCTTCATGTAAGGCAATGGCTGACTGGGGGAGAGCCACAGGGACCAAATAGGTCATCATGGACCCTGATGGGTGAGCAATAAGCTACTTGCTATCTTGCTGAAGTGGGGTGAAGAAGTATAAGGAGTGGTTCAGCATGCTGTGTATCTTCTGATGAAGAGGTTATCTTGGATGCTTCAGGAGGAGAGAGCCACTAAAGTGGAGCCTTAGAGATGGGAAAGTATTAACTAGAGCAGGAAAAATCTGCTTATGAATTTCTCTTCTATAAAAATATTTTTTTAATCATTAAAGTAGTTGCATTAAAAAAAAAAACAAGTCAGTGGGGACAACACCGACCTCTAGAATTATTCTGTGAATAAGGCATTGTCTTTCTAAACTTCAATGTCAGACACCATGGCTAGTACAGTGTTTCCCTGGATGGAGCCGAGGCTGGTGTGTTCAGGAAGATCTGGACTTCCCTGGTACTTCTAAAATTCCTGCTTCAGCATATTGTAGATGGAAGTTTCTGTCCTGCCTGATCCTTTTCTCAGGGAGGCATTCTCATCTTGCTTCCTCTGCATCTGACTTGTGATGGACTCTCTGCTTTTCCTCCTCCCAGAATTCTCCTAGTCTGGTTACCCCGCCTTCACTCCGTGACTCGTTTTATAACTAACATCCGATTGGTAGATCCAAAGGAGAGGGTTTGATTCTCTGGTTTTTGTTTTGTTTTAGGCTGCTCTCTCTGTTGCGCTGTGTGTTTAGAGCTCTCCGATGAGTGCTGTGAACCTGGAAGGCAATGAGCAGGCTTCTGAGGCAGGCTGAGGGTGGAACCCCACTTGGAATGAAGCAAGAAACAAAGGACCACACCGAAGCCGCCTGCAGAAGACGGGATGCAATGACTTTCTTGTGGCATCTCTTCTCCCTTGGGGATAGACATTTGAGCGCCAGTTTATGAGGATGCACAGGAGGAACGACTTCCCTGGGATGGTTAAGAAGTTCAGCTTGAGCAGTGGGAGGTGGGGAGGCTCTTATTTGGATATCCAAATGAATCTTAACTATTTTATGCAATCTTAACTATTTCTTGGATCTGGGAGAAAACGCAGGGAAGAAAAGAAACCAAACAAGAAAAAAAGAAAAACAAAACAAAACAAAAAACCCAATGGCAGAGTATTCGACCATGTCAAGGTCTGATCACAGGCTCTCCTTCAAAACCCAAGTTCTTGTCAACTTTGGCTATCAACTTATTAAAAGAAACAAAGACAAGCTATTAAGGGCTTTTCGGTGACTCTGTAAAACAAAACTGAACCAGATTCCCTCTTTACTTGTGTCCTGATCAAAAGATTTTTCCTACTTATTTAAAAACAAGAGAGGATCATCCATCTTTTTCTTTTTCTTTTTCTTTTTTTTTAAAAGGACTTTTGGTTTTTCTATTCTCAAACTGGAGGCCAGTATGGAATATCAGATAGAGACAGCAATCAGCCCAGAGGAGAGTTCCCCAGGCTCTCCATCACTCGAATAAAAGCCCCACAGCATTATTGATCCTAATCTTGAAGCCAGGTTGAAAAGGAGAGGAGAGGTCACGGCACCGGCGAATATGAAAGGGGTGAGAGACACAGGCAGAAAGAGCAGCCACCATGTGCCAGCTGGAAAAGACCAGTAGGGTTTGACCTGAGGAGCCCCACCGGTGCCTTGTATCACCCGAATCAAGGAACTCAAATGGAAATCAGCCTGGATTTCCAAGCTGAGAAGACAGCATTGATCTCCAGCCCGGGTGAGTCACAGAAGCAATCACACACCAAGGCCACGAAAGTGATGTCACATGCGGGGTTGGCACAGCCAGCTGGCGAGCCTCCCCGCCATGCCAGTCCTTGTTCATCAGGACATCTCTCTTTCTCTGTTTCCTGCCACCCTTGGAGTCTTCGTCTCCGTTTTCTCCTCCCGCTTGCCGAGTTTTAAAGTTTCCGCCTGCCCTACAACCCTTCTCACTTTTTCAAGCTTTCCTCCCCTAAGCCGTGCAGATATCAGCTCGCAAATTCCTGCACGGAACAACAAAATTCACATGCTTGATTTTTTTTCTACAGCCTACTTGTAATTAGCGTCACCGTGCTTCTAGAGCGGCAGGAACAATCGCTGTCATTTCCTATCGTTCTAGGGCTTTTTGCCCCCCCCCCCCCGGCTTTCCAGATCCTCTGCAAAACTACACATTTTAAACGAAACCAGCCATGTATAAATTCTCCCACACGGGCCAGGCTTCTGGCTGAGTAAGGCCCCCGCCCAGCAGCCCAGCCTACTGCCCCTGCACAGCTTTGTGCCCAACACTTCCCTTCCCAGGACCATTGCATCCTGACGAAGCCTGAGCCAGCCATTTCCAGGATCCATATTGTGTGGGTTTGCCGAGGGTGATTGTGTACTACAAACTCCAGTATGGACTGACACCTTGATCTTTTGAGGTCAGCAAGAGATCTTTTCTTAGCACATCGGCTATGAAAACGAACCTCAGAAGCATCTCTGAGGATGGTAGTGGCCTTCTTCCAAGCCCCGAGACAAGGGTAAAACTGAGATGGAGCTGGTATCAAAAGGGAGAGGAAATGATGGGAGGGCCAGGGTGGAGCGGCAAGGCATGCATTGGTTGGTTAATACTCTGAAATAGTATCTTGTCACAACTCCAAGGCCGCTAGTCTTTGAACCCATCCTCCTGGTCTGTATCTGAGTCCTCTCACATAGTTTGCTCTTATGAGGGCAACTTGCCTTATTTTACCATCCTCTCCTTTGACCTCCATGAGTGCCTCCCACCTCCCCAGCCTAGTCCTCCTCTTTCTCTTCACAGTTAAAGCAATATTCCACAGCATGCACAAACGTAGCACATATTTACATAGGTAAAATCATGTTCTACAACAAGAGGGGGTGGGTGACACCCAGGACAGGGTTCTTCCAGACGTAACAGGACTTATGTGAACTCCCAGAGACTGGCAGCAGGCACAAGATGTGCACAGGTTTAAGCCTTGTTGGTCTTTTGGATATTATGGTTTCAGATTATGTGTGTGCGTTTCTTCTGCTTTTTCTTTTCTTTTTCTTTCTTTTTATTTTAGTTTCTCTTTTTTGGAAAGGGTGAGAACCTGAAGATGAGTCGTTAAAGGGATGGAGTAGCAGGGAGGATCTGGGAGAAGGTAAGGGATAATGCGTTCAGACTATATTATATGAAAATACTTATTTTCAATCAAACAAAGGAATATTCACAGTGCTAAGCATTTCTCACCACTCTCAGCTCTAGAACGTTCCAGAAGCCCAATCAGTCACTTCCTGCCTGCCCTCTTCCCAGCTGTTGGTAACCACCACCTTACCTTTTGCCCAGGAACTGGACTATCTTGCCACCTCCTACAATATTATTACATGCCTACCCTTTGGTGGCTTCTTTCACTTAGCGTGGCATTGTCAGGGTCATCAGTGATTGTGGCAGCCATCAGAATGACCTACGTTTGTTCATCTGGTCAACCGTGGGTGTTTGGGGAGGGCCTCCACATTTTGTCCGTCATGAGTAAAATGCTGAGACTATGGGCCACCTATATCTGTTCAAATCCTGTTCTCATTCCTAGGATGTGGAGTAACCTGCTGCTTCATGCAATAATCCGGTGTTTCATGGTTCTGAAGACCTGCCCTACTGTCTCCCAGCAGCCTAGGCATTTTGTATCACCCAGCGGCAATGTACATGGGTTCCAGTTTCTCTACCTTCTCAGCAGCGTTTGCTCTTTCCTGTTTTGTTTTGCTATAACTATCCTACAGAGTGTGAAATGGTACCATCTTTAATCAGACATATAGCCTGCAAATGTATATACTTATTGAAATTTTGTTTGTTTTTTAACTGTATGTACTTGTGCCTGTGTATTTATGTGTACCACATGAGTGCAGGTGCCTGAGGAGGCCAGGGGGCATTGGGCCCCAGGAACTGGAGTTACAGATGGTTTTGAGTCATCTAATGTGGGTGTCAGGAACCAAGCTCAGGTCTTCCTCAGGATCAATACGTGCTCTGAGGTGCTGAGCCGTTGCTCCAATGTTTACGCTGCCATTAGATACAGGGCTTGCAAATATTTCCCCTGTACCACTGGTTGGCTGCCTTTTGCACTTCTTTAACGATGCCCCTAGATACACAAAAGTTTCTAATTTTGATGTTCAGTTCACTCCTTTGTTGCTGTTGCCTGTGCTCTTTCCATCAAGAACAAAGGACAACTCCAGCATCGTGAAGTATCCCTCTGTGTTTTCTTAAGTTTTATGCCTTTAGTTCCTACATGTAAGGCTTTGATGTATTTTGAGAGTTATTAAATATGTTCTGTGTGTCCAGCTCCGTTCTCTTGCATGTGGATAGCTGGTTTGCTCCACAATGCTTGCTGAGAAGCATTTTAGAGACCTTCAGTGCCTACAACATCTGCATCTGTTTTTTTTTTTTTTTTTTTTTTTTGTAGCTTACAGAAGACAGGTTTCTCTTTTGGTAGTTCTGAATCACTCCTGGGATGGTTCGTATCCTTCTTCCACAACGTGCGGCTTCACTTCTCAGAGGGTTGTCTCTGTTAGCGTCCTCAAACTTTTGACTGTCAAGCTCTTGGCTGTGTTTCCTCAGAAAAATGTCCTCATTTGTTTCTATAGAACAACACAACTGAGAGCCAAACTTAACAAGAATTGTGTATCAATTTAAAGTCAGTGCCTTCCTCTAAGGGAACAGCTGGAGACTCCATGAATAGACCAGAGGGAAAAATGCTCTGATAAAGGGACTTTACAAGAGCTATTGACTTTGCGAAGAGATTGCTGTCATTTGTGTGAAAGTCTGTATTTGTGTCTCATGTCCACAGAATGGGCTTTACTACCTGGCAAGCTGGTTAAGTGTTTACAACCCAGTTCTCTTGGGAGGGTGTGGAAGCATCGGTTTATAAACAACTGCTGATTTTCATAAAATAAATACTCCCAGCACAGCCAGTTTTGAACACAGTGTGACGTCACTGGATGTAGACGTCAGAAGAAATCATACAGTAGAAAAAGACTGCAGAACATTTCAAAACCAGGCATAATAGTCACACACGATTGGGACTATTGTTTATAAGAACAAGGGTAATGGGAAGGAACTGGGAAAGAGGCATTTTGAACAGCTACTATCAAACCACTTACTGACATTTTTTTGGGGTGGTGACCAAATGCCTGATAAGAAGCAACTCAAGGGATGAAGGGCTGATTTTGGCTCATAGCTTAAGAGCAGCGCTGGTCATCATGACAGCGGAAGCATGGGCCCAGAAGTATGAGGAAGCCGTCACATTGTGTCCCAAGTCAGAAAGCAGAGAGCAGACAAGAAATGGGACTGGCTCTAAGCTCTCAAGACCCGCCTTCAATGATCTACTTCCTCTAACAAGTTCTCCCTCTTAAAGTCTCCAGAACCCTCCAAAACATTACCACCAAGTATTTAAATGCATGAAGCTATGCAGGACAGTTCACATTTAAGCCACAACACAATAATTTCATTTAATTCCACCAATAGGAAGTTTATACCATTCAGTCTCCTCCCCTCTATCTCGTTCTATGTGTGTGTGCATATGTATATGTGTTGTATATGTGCATATGTTTATACATGTGTGTGAAGGCCAGAGGTCTGTGTCAGGTCTCTTCTTTGGTTGTTCTTCTCTTCAGTTTTTGAGGCAGGGTCTCTCACTGATCTTGGAGCTCACAGATTTAGCTGGGCTGGTTGGCCAGAGAGCTCTAGTGAATCCCACCTGTCTTTGCCTTCCCAGTGCTAATATCACAGACCCTTGCATCCATGCCTGGATTTTTATATCAGTACTGGAGATCTGAACTTGGGTCTCTGCTGTGGGATAAAGCTCTTGTAGACTGTAAATATTTGTCACTTGTATTAGTTTAATAAAGCACTGATTGGCCAGTAGCCAGGCAAAACGTATAAGCAGGGCAACCAGACTAAGAGAATTCTGGGAAGAGGAAAGGCAGATAGTCAGTTACCAGACAGATGCAGAGGAAGCAAGATGAGAATGCCTCACTGAGAAAAGACTGGCTGCAGGACCGGGCTGGACAGAGACTTCCATCTGCCAGTCTCCAGGCTTACACGGCAAGTGCTTTGCAGACTCTGAGCCATTTCCCCAGGTGTTGTGCCTCTTTATTTTTTATTTTTAAATAGAAGGCATATTTAACAATTGACCCACTGAAATCCTAAACAAATGACCCTCTGAAATCCTGACATTCTTCCAAACTGGGTTGAACCAGCTCTAACACAACTCTGGCACCATTTTGTTTGTCCTAAAGGTAATAAAGTTATAAAAAATACTATCCTGGAGAATTATACAAACTGAAGATGTGAATAGAGCTTGTAAAGGTTTAGACCGATTAACAAATGACAAGCATGACCAACTACTATCGAAAGAGGGATATATGTGGGTGGCCCTTTGCATAGTTCTGGACAACTAAATTTTCCTGGCTCCTTATTTTCTGTCAAGCACCATGATACGTTATAAAAAACTCATCTCACCGGCGAGTGTAATTGTCAGCAATCTACAGATAAGGAAATTGGGCTTCAGAGAGGGACAGGGTGCTCAAACATGTTGGGTTCGTGCCCAGATTTGTGCGAGTCTAAGCATTCCAGAATTCTGTATTGGAAACCGGTGGTTTCCTAGGTGATGTGCAGTCAGGGCAACAGAGAGGAAGATAATGCATCTGAGTAGAGACCCGAGAGGACCACAGTATGAAGCTGGATGTCCAAGTGACCAGATCACTCAGACCTCTAAGGCGTGTTGAAGAGTCTCCTTCAGATGCCATGAAAGCCACTCGGAGGTTTTGAGTGTGGGCTGTGAAGTATGTTCAGCTCTGTATTTCAGAGGTAGTTTCTGTGAAGCTGGTTCAGCACACCCAGAAGAGGGGATAAATGGCCTCTGTGGGGATGCAGGCAAGGGATGCTGGGAGCCTTGGAGGAGGTGGGGTAGTTTCCAGTTTCTGTGCTATTGACTGAGGCACTCGGAGTTGAACTTTGTGTCTGTTGGACTGTGATGTTCCCCTAAAACTGCAAGAAGAGAAATAAGAAACTGGAGACTCATGGTTTTAAATTCTAGAAGAATTCCACCAACTCTTTGATAATTTGGGTTTTTTCCCCTTCATTTTCTCTGTCTTCTATTTCTGAGAAATGTATTAACCACATGTAAGAGCTGAGAGTTTGATCTAATTTTATTTTTAAATCATGCCTCAGCTCGTCTCCATACTGAGATTTTTTTTTTAATTCAAGTATCCAGAAGAATCTGATTATATACAGAACATCATTTACAAATTTTATTAATTGCAGGCGCTTGTGCTGTTACTTCCTGAAGTCTTGTCCTCCGAGGAGTCTCCCTCACTGTGCCTGGCGGTTTTTTTACCACCGCATTGTCCTCAGAAGTGGTCCTTTTTAATTCTTAAGGTGCCTCCTGCCGTCTGCTGGCAGGGTCCGTGTCAGCTCAGTGTTTTATCCACTGTTGTCTCTACTCTAACACGCTGGCGATTTTCCTTGGCTGTCTTCTGCACTGTGGTTTCAATTAGTGCCGGAAGCACTGAGAACTGTGAAGACAATCTGGGCTCCGGCGACAGACTTGCTGTGTGGTGGTGTCACCACGAGATGGTCTTAACTTTCAGAACTTTTCCTACTGGGAAAATGTTAAATGTCAGATCCTGAGACTTTTTTTTTTTTTTCCCTGAGGCTCTTCAGCTTTTGTTTGAAAATCCTCTGCTCCTGTTGGAGATTCCAGTCGTCAGAGGAGGCCAAGGGGAAGTGTCCCCACAGCTCTGCAGACCTTTACTGTGTCTCTCTGCTGGAACCCAAGCCTCGCTCTTCGCTCTTCATGTGCTGCACCACAGCTTCCTTTGTTCAGTTTGCCCAACTTGTACCTTGACTCCCCCGCAGGACTGGTGCTGGGAAGTGGGCGTGGGAGGGGGTAGAGCACTCCTGGATAAGGATTCTTCAGGGCTGGCTGGTGGCCGAACTATCCCCCGACTCTGCTGAGTCTTTATAACTAACACTCCAACCCTGTTTTCAGATCAGAAACTTGTCTCTTGCTCATCTGATTTCGGCTTTTCTAACCTGGTATGGTAACGCCATCTTTGGCTCTACTCTTTAAACTGTCCGTTTTAAAGATGTTTAGGGAGGAAGGGGAGACAAAACACATGTTATAATTTTGTAAGGTCGAGCATGACTTTATCCATTTTAATATTTGGAATCTCTATAAAGATTTAAAAGATTACATTCTGACCATTATCAGGAAGGGATATCATTCATATGACTTAAAACGAGCAAGACAAAATGAAAGGGAAGCAGAATTTGTCTTCCTCTGATCTTGCAATTGCGCCACTGTAGAAGATGCTCCGTTAATTGATCACTGTATTTGAGATACATCCTCAGCAGGAAAGAGAGTATACGAAATGAATCTACCTTTAAGTTATTTTTTTGAAGTCTTCTAAGAGGAGCTTTTTGGTTCTTGATGGGGGCACATCTCTGCAGCTATTTAGGCTCTCCTGAGTTTATCTGCAACAGATGAAGTATTTTTGATGAAGGACATGTCCTGATCATGAACATTCCTGCTGATTGATACGCGTTCCACCGAGTTGGGGATTGGGCATCATTTTTGTTGGCATCTGAAGTGAGGTGTTCATCTGAGGACCCCTGAAAACGGTCAAGAGCCAGGGTGCTGAAAAAAAGCCCAGAGTTCCTATGGTGCTATGCTGGATAAAAGCAAGAAATTAGCTGCCACCCAGCCAAGGGAGCTGAAGACCCCGGCAAGTGCGCCATTGTTCTGATTGAAGTGGGAGAGGAGGCAGCGAAAGAGCTCCCACTCCACGGCTGAGGGCCAGGCAGCCAAAGGCAGCCGAGAAAGCTTTCAGTGAGTCAAGAGCAGTTAAGAAACCCTGAAAAGGGAGAAGTGGGCAAAGCCACACTGCCTGGAAGGTTTATTGAAAGAAAAGAGCTTCCTATACAGGGCGAGGAAATGGCTCTCTTGATGTTCAGCAAATGGCAATGGGGGGTATAGCTAAGATCTGGGCGAAAATAACATTTGCTATTCACAATTTTTTTCCAGAATGTTACATGTACTGTTGAAAACTTAATGAGATACTTCAGAGCAGGGCTTTTCACAGGTAGCGGTGGGACTGGATACTTAGTTGTTGGTCAAAAGAAACAAAATGTCAGGAATAATAAAAATCTCACAAGCCCACCTAAAAAGGCAGGAGGAAAATGTCAGGGATTGTTAATAAAGAGGAGCTGGACAAGCCGGTTCGTTCTGACACCGGGGAGCTGATTCTGGAAAGAACCACTGAGAAGCTTTTATTGACAA